AAGGGAGTACGTGATCCTCCCGGTCACGTGAGGGTGACCAACAATTGAATAAACTCATGACCCTTGAATAAAAAAACATGGTGATTATTGCAGACACTCATAACAATGAGGGCACATTAAGTGGTTACACAAAAACAGTTCGTCAACAAGTGCAAAAAAACACATTTGCAGATAGAGCCATCGACAATGACACAAAAGTACCCCTGATGAGCCCATTAGGGTATAGTGCAATGGTTGCCTGCGCCTTAGGCAAGAGAAGGCATCAAGTGTAAAGGTGCAATTACATTCAATAGCCCGATAATAACACTCGGGGTCAAGTAATAACATGGTCAGAAAGATTCACAATAACATACAGTATCGACGAAAAACATTCGGTACCGATAAGGCACACAAAAAATTGCAAGGTTCAAGCAGGGCATGAGCCCAGAACTGCCCTCCCAAAGGCCATGTCAGGTGTATACCTGGTGTTCAGTCTGTAATGTGAAACAAATGTCTGAGGATTCTTCCAAATGGCCGCCTTGCAAATAGCGTCCAGGGGAATCCCCTTAAGAAAAGCCGTGGAGGCCGCCATAGCCCTGGTCGACCGAGCCCGGACGACCGAGGGGGGTTGTCTTCGAGCCAACTGGTAACAAAGCTCGATGGTCGAAGTGATCCAGTGCGACAAGCGTTGCGCCGTGATCGGCAGGCCCACCTTATCCGGGGCATATGCAGCAAAGAGTCTCTGAGTCCGTCGAGACTGAGCAGTCCTGTCCTTATAACACAGCAAAGCTCTCCGCACATCGAGCATATGAAGTCTCTTCTCCTCTGGGGTAGAGGGGAGCTGACAGAAGGATGGGAGGATAATGTCCTCATTAACATGGAAGGGGGACACAACCTTAGGGAGGAATGTCACATCTGTGCGGAGAACTGCTCTGTCCTCGTGGACAACAAAGTAAGGTTCGTCCACCCGCAATGCCGCGAGCTCCGACGGTCGTCGTGCCGAGGTGATAGCGACCAGAAAGGCCACCTTCCATGACAACAGCCGAAGATCGATCAACGCCAACAGCTCGAATGGTGGTTCTGCGAGCCGAGCCAGCACGAGGTCGAGGTCCCATCCCGGGGTCGGAGAACGAACCGGGGATGCAAGTTGTTGAAACCCCGTAAAAAGGATTTCACAGAGCTGTCCTTAAACAAGGAGGCTTCACCTGCCCGCTGCAGCTGTCGTGAGATGGCTGCCAGGTGGGACTTGAGAGACGATAGCGACAAACCTCGTTCGGTAAGATGCAGCAAGAACGAGAGGATCGTCGGTATCGAAGGCCGATGGTCGTCTAGGCCCTTCTCGGCGAGAAAAGCCTGGAAGCGGTTGAGGCACGCCGAGTAGCACTTCTTGGTTGCCGGTTTATGGGCTGCCTCCAGGATAGGAAGGACTCCTGGGCACAGGGCTCTTAAAACTGGATCCTCCACGCCGAAAGATGCAGAGAAGCGAGGTCGGGGTGGAGAAGCTGACCGTCCTCTCGGGAGAACAGATCCTGCCGAAGTGGAAGGCGTTTCATCCGCCCCTCGGACACCTGGAGTAGGACCGAGAACCACGGTTGTCTTGGCCATTCCGGCGCCACCAAGATGCAGTTCGTTTGCGCCGACTGGATCCTTTCGATCACCCTCGGGATGAGCGGGAAGGGAGGGAAGAGGTAGAGCAGATGCCTTGACCAGTCTAACAGGAACGCGTCTCCGAGGCATCCCGGTACCGTGTTCGGAGCAAGTCGAGCACCGAACTGAGGGAGCTGAGCGTTTTGCGGCGACGCGAAGAGATCTGCGACTGGAAGGCCCCACTCCTCGAAGATCTTTGCCAGCACATCGGGGTTCAACTTCCACTCGTGAGATGTTGCCCTGGTTCTGCTGAGTGCGTCGGCCTCGGTGTTGCTCTCGCCCGGGAGGTGCAGTGCTGTTATCGACACCGACCTGGCTACACACGAGTCCCAAAGCTCCATTGATAGCTTGAGGAGTTTTCTCGAGCCCGTTCCGCCCTGCTTGTTCACGTAGAACATTGCCACCATGTTGTCCGTGAGAATTTGGACGGACTTGCCGGTAACCAGGAGGGCAAATGCTCTCAGGGCCTTGAATATTGCCAGCAGTTCTAGGTAATTTATGTGGCATTGTCTTTCTTGTGGAGACCAGAGATCGTGAACCGAGAGGTCTCCTTTATGGCATCCCCATGCGAACATCGAGGCGTCCGTCGTGATCGTGACGGCCGGGGGCTCTGGGTGAAAGGGAATGCCCTTGCAGACATGCTGGCGGTTCATCCACCAGCTCAGAGAGTCCTTCACTGGCCTCGGTACCAGTAGGCGCTTCGTGGCACTGTCCCGCATGGGGTTGAAGTGGTCCAAGAACCATCTCTGGAGGGGGCGGAAGCGGAGTCTTGCCAACGGTGTCACCATCACCGTGGAGGCCATGTGTCCGAGGAGAACTTGTATCTGTTTGGCCGAGGTCACCCGAGAGCGACGGACCTTGAGTGCCTCGGCTCGAAGAGCTCTGAATCTCTCCTCTGGGAGGGAAACTGTCTGGGAGAGAGAATCGAACATGGCGCCGATGAATTTTATGCAAGTGGTGGGTTCGAGATGGGATTTTTCCTCGTTCAACTGGAGGCCCAGGTCTTCGAGGAGGGAAAGCGTCCTTGCCACCTGAACTCTCAGGAGGTCCGGGGAGCGTGCTGCCAACAACCAGTCGTCTAGGTAAGGGAAAATGCGAATCTTTTCCCTTCTGAGGGCTGCTGCGACCACCGACATGCATTTGGTGAAGGTCCTCGGTGCCGTCACGAGACCGAAGGGAAGGACATCGAAATTGTATGACTGTCCCGCTACCCTGAAGGCCAGGAAGCGC